TTGTTTCCTGACAGCTTTTCTTAACTTTAAATTATCCCATCCATCTTTGGCCTCTGGCATCTTTCCTTTTCTTACTCCTATATATCTTACTTTCACTCTTACTCTGGGGCTGGCTGTGTAGCTGGGTGGCCAGCCCCTTGTGTCCTCCTCCTTCTCTTGCTTTTTTTCCCCTCTCCTCCCAGATTTCTCCTTCTATTTATTCTCTCTGCCTGCCAGCCCACCTATCCTGTCTCCTGCCTCGCTTTGGCTGTTCAGCTCTTTATTAGACCATCAGGTATTTTAGACAGGCACAGTAACACAGCTTCACAGAGTTAAACAAATGCAACATAAAAGAATGCAACACATCTTTGCATCATTATAGCAAATGCTCCACAGCACACACTTGAACCCAGAGCTTTCTGATTTTTGACTAGTCTAGCTCTCCAGCTTGCTCTGAGGATTTCTTGTCTCTGCCTTCTTGAGTGCTGGGATTACTGGCAGGTTGCACCTCCACCTAGCTTTGACATGGTGCTGGGGATCCGAACTCCGGTCCTCATGTTTGTACCACAGGCACTTTACACACTGAGCTGTCCCCTCAGCCCCAGAAGCCTGGCTCTTATTCCCTTTCTATGCCTATTTCTTCTACCGATACTTCCCATTGCAGTGTGTTGTACAGAATGCAATTGTTGACAGAAGTCTTGGAGTTTTCTCTTCCCTATACATAATTGATAATGTCAGTGTTCCTTCAAAGCATGTCTCCCTTCTATTTGCTTCTCTAAATCTTAAGTGTTGATGTCTTGACCCACCACATTATTCCCTGAACTACTTTCCTAGCCTCCTACTTCTTCACTTACCCACCTCTAGACTATTGTTTATATAATTTAAGAGGTCATTGTTTGACAACATAAATAAGATTAGTTCATTATTAAGAATTCTTCAGTGATTTCTTATTGAACTTACATTAAACTTCTATGAACATCTATAAGGCCTTATATGATGCATTTGGTGTGACCTATTCATATAGTCTCATCTCCCTTGTACTAACTAAAGCTGACACTATTACTTGAAGCTCAGTTGTGGTATTTAGTCCTTTTGTTAGACTAATAGTCTACTAGTAGTCCTGTAGGGGTAATCATTACAGCTTTGATGTAGAGGATGTATAATGAATATTACTGTGTCTACAGAGTGAATAGCCATTGTTTTGAACCAAGGTCTGACCCCCAAAACACTTTTATAAGGTTCAAATGTTTGCCACACTGAATTATATGGTATACCATTCACTAAGTTTTTGATGCTCTGTTTAATTGTTAGACTTTATTATTATTTTTTAGTTATATTTTGAGAGCTTTGTGCTAGGCATGGCTGCATACATTTTCATGTAACTCAATTTTCCTGGCTACCTTTTAAAGTAAGTAGTATTAACTACACCTTATAGAAGCCAACATTTAAATAATAAATTTCTGAAGTTCACACAATTAAAAAGAAGCATATCCAAGATTCCAGCTCTGACATACTGACTGAAAGATGACTAATTTTAAGTACTGCATAATATCAACTCTCATGGTAAGCATGCATCTAGTTAGGATCTCTATGAAATGGAGAAGCGAGTAGGCAATGCCAGTAGGTACCATTTTGGATAGATCAAAGGTTCCTACATTTATAGTTTTTCATAATTGTCACAGCTTTCCTATGTGCTTTTTGTGTGAGTGATTCCTGGACTGCTATACATATATGATACACATATATGTATCAACTTTGATACATATATGTGTTTGTTTCGCTCCAAGTTGAGTCTCTCAGGGATAAGAACTATACCTCACAAAAAGCCCTCAATTCATTTTCTGATGACACTGTACAGTGTGAGAATGTGGTCAGCATCCACAGCACAGCTGCAACTGAGACCTGAAACATCAGAGGGATGCAGACCAAGGGCATCCTGGGATTGCATTAAGGAGCAGCAAATTTAGTTATACAATAGTTAAATTTAACAAAGTCCTGTTTCTTTACCTCTTCTTAAGATGTGGGTTCCTTTTACTTGGGAAGGTAATAGGAAAGACACTGAAAGCTTTGTGTTATTCTGGTCACAAGAAAATTAAGTTTAAAGACCATATAGTGCTGCTTTTATTTATTTATTGTTACTGTTTACTTTTCTTCATTTGTCCATATCCTGATTGCTTTTGTTTTAATTAAAATTTTTCTTAATTCTTTTACATATGAAATCTGGTGTTCAAAGTTTTGCTGATGCTATAATTTTCCCTAAGAAAAATAAAAATAATTATCCATAATGAAATTTTGAGAAATTGTACAGCCATCTTTGTAATTATTTAAATGTTTTTGAAACACAGGAAGATGATCTTTCCTTAGGGCATGCAGAGCTGCCAATTTACAATTATATTGTGACGACATGGATGATGATTCAGTTATGAAACTTTTAAAAATAATTCTCCAATAATTCTGTAAATGGCCACTGGGGGTGCCAGTAACCATAACAATTTGACTACACTTCAAAATAAGATAATTAACATGGTTTTATATTCATTACATAAATGGAAAATTACAAAGTTGATAAATTGGTCTTCATCAAGTTAAAAAAAAGTGTTATTTTATGAAAGCCCTTATAAGAGGATGAAAAGATAAGCTAAAGACTCAGAGAAAATATTTGAATATATAGAGAATCCTCCAGGCTCAGTAGTAAAAATAAAATATAAAGATGGAGTAAAAGCAGGAATAGGAACTTTATGAAAGAGGATATGAGATTGGCTAATAAGTACATTTCTCAAGATTGATTTCTGTTGCTGTGATAAATGCCATGAGCTAAAGCAAGTTGGGGAAACTGAGTTCTATATAACTGACATTTCCATGTCACAGTCCATCATGGAGGGAAATTAGCGCAAGAGCTCAGGCAGGAATTTGGAGGTAGAAACCAAGAGGCCACAGAGAAACATTGCTTACAGGCTTGCTTCCTCTGGCTCACCCAGCTACCTTTCTTCTATAGTCTTGGCCAGCCTACCTAGAGATGACACCTCCCACAGCAGGTTGCTGCAATTAAGAAAATGCTTCACAGGTATGGCCATAGGCCAACCTCATGGAGGGAATCCCTCTGTTGAGATTCTCTCTTCCCAGATGTGTCTAGGTTTGTGTCAAGTTGACAAGAACTAACCAGCACACACATGAAAAGATGTGTCTTTTCGATGCAACCAAAACTAGCCTTTGATTATTATGTTTAAGGATTTACCAATTTTTGTAGTTTGTTATAGCAATAGAAGACTAAAGATAAAATTATTTTCAAATGTCTAATATATAGTCCCTTCTTTGATATAAATTCATTTTGTGACTAAAAGTAAACCAGAAAATTATTTTTGGAAGTACTGTATTTCCTTTAACTCTCTATATTTAAAATTTTATATCTGAGAGAGAGAGAGAGAGAGAGAGAGAGAGAGAGAGAGAGAGAGAGAGAGAGAGAGATTAACATTATCACAATGAAAAATCCAGGCTGGTGCCTAGTTTAGACCAAGACCACATCAGTTAAAGGAAAGATGAGTGGTTATGAGTGAGGACTAATATCAGAAGATCTCTCTTTCTTTCCACAAGGAGGCCACACTATGGCCATTTACCAAGATGATATCACACTGAGGAAAGGACGTTAGATCTTTTAAGGGCTCTCTGATAAGGAGTCTGAGCTGACACTGAAGACAAGGACAAGGAAAGTCACCATGGCTTTTGATATGAGTGAGAACCATATGGAGGGTATGTAAGATTCAAGTTCAAGCCCAAGTTCAAATATGTCTCATGAAGGTCACAACGAGTCTTTGGTTCACCCTGTGACCTTAAATGAATAATAGGGATGTAAACAATTTACAAGTGTACTTTTTCACTGGAACATCTCTTTGGATCCTATATCTGTACAGCCATTGTCTTGGGAAGGGGTGAATGTAGGTCCCCCAAATGCCCCGTCATCATGCAAGGGAAGTGGTTTTGTGGCAGGTGACTGCACAGATGATGACTCTGTTGCAGTTGCAGCAACCATAACCTGACAAGAAGGATTGTTTGGGTCTCTCTATCAGGCAATAGAAGACCATCAGAGTGCTGGCCAAAGGTGAGAGGCATTCTAATAGCTAAGGGAAGAAAGAGATGATGGTATTAGCAATGCCTTAGAACCATCGAGAGCAGCAGGACTGCTAGCTAATGTCACAGAACCTCTTGCAGAGACTGTGGCTGACCAGCCCCTTACAGGAGTCTCTATGATAGATCGGACTTAATGAGCAGAGAAGGTGGATCGGAGAAGTGCAAAGGGCCTATTGCCCCAATGTCACTCTGTCCGTCACAAGTCCCCTTAGCCACACGCAACAATCACTTTCACAATTGGTTCTCACAAACTTTGGCCAGCTGCCCTTAAGTGTAATTGGAAAATGCTTCACCTCTGGCCAGAGTGGAGACTTCTTTCCCTGGAATTTTTCAAATTCAGCATAAAATGTCCATTGAGCTACTACATACATGCAACTGACAAATAATTATGTATTAGTCAAAGTCCCAGGGCCACTTTCACCGGTGGTGGGTGGCAGTCCATGAAGAAATGATACTCTCCCCAGCCTCAGGCATTTCATTAAGCCTTTGCAGAAGACATCAAAAATGGCATAGTTTGGCCACAGAAGTTATCATTTGACAATGCATTCTTATCTCAGTATTTTCTTCCTTTCTGATTTAACTCCTGTTTTTTTCATTATTCCTGGGATTATATTCTCTGGGATTATAGTCCCAGGTAAATTGATTAAGGGAAAGCTTTTATAGGGAGAGAAACCAAGGCTTTGACAGTAATCTTACTAAGTTGAACTAATATATAAGCACAAATAACTCAATTCTTAATATATAATCATGCTTCATTATTGTTCTTTATGCACACATAGATATAGGCACTGATTATTTATCCTACGTATCTATATTTTAATTTATACTTTATAGATTGTAGCCATATTGAGTTGTAAGCTACTATATTACTAAAATGTCCTTTCTGTTACCTACAGGATTCAACTAGGAGAACTTCTTCCATTCTTTAAAGTAGTTTGAAATTGTCCAGTGTTACTTTCACATCAGTAAGGATATCGCCTTGTCAAGATATGTGCACATGAAAAGGGGTATACAGTTTTACTCTACTGAGGTGAATGGGATTTGAGGTATTTTTGTTGGTAGTGTTTATAATGTCACTTTGCATTTTTACCATCAGAGGTCATGAAAGAACAATGCAGAGTTGAAATCTGGAGTTTTGTGGGAAATAACTAAAGCTAAAACTGTAATTTTTTTTAGAACACTTGAAAAGAAAACATCACAGCACATTGCCATTTGTAAATAAGGACAACTTTTTAAGGGAAATGGGGTTATCTGGTGGGTTATAAGAACATCAGCTGGTTTTTTTTTGACATGTATACTCACTTTCATTTTTAAGAACAACATTTAAAATAAAAACTATCAGTAACTACTTGGATTAGAAACATAAATTTATAATTTTAGTTGGTATTGTAATTCTATAATGGGCAAAAAATATTCTTGAAAATAAGAAGCAAAGAAGGAAGTAAAGTTATGCTCTGGAATATATTTGAATACATTTCTTAGTGTACTTCATGAGAAGTGGTAAAATGTGTCTCAGACTTTTCATTGGAAAAACTGCTGTTGTAAAATGTATTATCTTATTTACAATAAATTGTAATTTAAAGACCCTTTTTAAAAATTATTTTTATTTTATGTGCATTGGTGTTTTGTGTGTGTGAGGGTGCCAGATCCCCTAGAACTGGAGTTACAGACAGTTGTGAGCTGCCATGTGGGTGCTGGGAATTGAACCCAGGTCCTCTCTAGGAGCAGTCAGTATTCTTAAACACTGCGCCATCTCTCCAGCCCCAAAGATCCTTTATTGATAAGTATTTTGGTTGAGTTATGGGCAACATATATTGGTTTGAGGCTTTTTTCTTTTGCTTTAGATAAATTATTAGAACTGTGAAAGCCCATGCAAGTTAAAATCATTTGCACTTATGTTTTCTTAAATCATAAGGTTATCCATTGGTGCTACTCTTTGTTATACAATAATTTAAAACCTTATGAGATGATTATCGGTATAGTCTGTTGTGCCTCAAAAGATACTGTGTTCAAAGATACTGTGGTACATGGAGCAGGTCACATATAGCCTACTGCGTGATTCCACTTTCATGAAGTACATGTAGTAGACGCAGAGCAGAGTGGTGATTGCTGAGAACTGGAATGGCGAGAGTATAGAGTTGTTAAAGAATGTAGACTCTCAGCTTTGCAACGTCAAATGATTTCTGAACACCAGTTGCATAGCTGTGTGAATGTACTTGCTATTAAACTGTAAATTTAAAAATAGTCAATATGGCAAACACTAGCTGATACGTATTTAATTCATTAAAAAAACAAACAAACTGCTGAGCAGGACCTGGAGAGATGCTCAGTGATTAGGAGCACTTGTTCTTCCAGATATCTGGTCCAGTTCCTAGCACCCATATGGTGGTTTACAACTACCTATCTATAGCTCTAGTTCTACAGAACTAATGCCCTCTTTTGGCCTCCTCGTGTACCATACACACACATAGTACATATACATGCATTCAGGCAAAATACTTGTATACACAAAATAATAAATAAATCTAAAAACAACAACAACAACAAAAACCAAACTCTAATGAGTGGCTTGGCATATGAGCGGATATTGGGCAACCAGATCCTTTGTCTGGAGTTGTAAGATTGTTTTTACTACCAGTGATCTGCTTGTATTTCTCAGCAACACTGGTTCTGCCTAGCTAGGCCCTGGCCATCCTAAGAAGCCACCAGTGGACATAGGAGCCCCTGAAGGACTGAGGTCTGGTTGAAAGAAATTATGTTTGATCCAGATAAGATATTTAGACTGAAATTTGAGGCTATTCCAAACTCCTCATGGATTCGACAGAAAGAATACCATCTACACTACACTGTTGTAGGCTCTAAATACCCTAAAACACAGAAATTTTAAACAAAACCACGTACCTAATAACATGTTGTACATAAATTTACTCTTTTTAAATCACACCCTTTAGTGTATGTAGAATCAATGATTTGATAACTACCATTATTACTATTTTCTTCTAATAAGGGCTATAAAAGACTTTTTAATGTTTGTGTCTTGGAATCCCAGGAAATTTTATGTGTTTCAAAAAGCCTTAATAACAACTCAGGGACAAGTTTGTTGACTAAACAGATGAAATTCTTTTTTAAGGACTATTTACTTAAACAATCAAAAATTAACCATCACAAACATCCATGTGGTTATCTCCCAGCCCCAAGTTCCATCCTCTTCCTCCAGCCAGCTCTATTTTGCTGGGCTTGCTATCCGAGATCACAATTCTCAGATCTAGGAAGCCTTCATCTTGCTCCTAGGGATGGCCTGCTCATATCTGGAATCACTTTCTTTGCCTCAGATAGGTACAGTAAACTCCTGGCATGATCTAGAATAAAAAAAATCCTAGCTGGAGACCTCATCATTTTAATTCATGGCCTTTTCTTGATAGTAACAACTGTTCTTAATTCTTTGGATATTTATAAAATAGTTTTAGACCTGTGTGGCTCATACTTGCTTGATATTTTTAGTGTGTATAGACATTAAAAGCATGCTATTTAGACATGAAAGCAGATTCTACCTACACAAATATTGACGTATTCAGTGGGTTGAAACCATTTTGCTCAGGTATTTGTTTGTAGTTATGCAGTCAATTTTAACAGAAAAAGTATAAATAAGTATTTCATATGGATTGGGAGAAAATTTGAATTTTTTCCATGAAGTTTTTGGGGAACTGCTTTAAGCAGAAAGGCAAAGCACACATATGTTCTCTAGCCACCATATAAATCTTACTGATGAAAACAAGGTTTATTTAAAAGAATAAGGAAATATAAAGAGACTTGTTTCCACAATCCCAGCAAACCTTTCATCAGTGCTTCTAACAAGTTCCAAAATGAATTTCATCTCTATCCTACCCTTGCCCACAGCAGGAGGTTTTAATGAGCAACAGAATGGTTCTCAGGGTGACAGTCAAAGAAAGGAAAGTCACAATATTCCATATCCAACAGTCACGAATGAATAATCCATCACTCACAATATTCCATATCCAACAGTCACGAATGAATAATCCGTCACTCACAGTATTCCATATCCAACAGTCATGAATGAATAATCCGTCACTCACAATATTCCATATCCAACAGTCATGAATGAATAATC